ACGGGATGCGCCCGGCGGGTCTCGGGGGAGGGCTGGAGGTGTCTGCTGAGCTGGACAGGGAGGTGTGTGTGTTAGGGACTGTGTCAAGTCCTGGCTGATCCTCTGGCGCAGCGCGAGGTGCCTGAATGTCCCCAGGTCAGGCTGAGTGACCCTGCTCGGTTCGGGCTCGGCGGGGAGAGAGGGGACCAAGTGGGGACGCTAGTCACCCTGTTCGTGCATCGTGCTGCATGTGCCTCCCACTGCGCTGCTCTGGTGTAACGCCCTGTGCCTCGGTTTCCCTGGGCACTGCACTGCCCAGCGGGGGATGGGAGTTTGGGGTGTGACGCTCCCTGCAGGGGCGGCTGCCCCACCTTGGCACATTCACGGCGATGGCCCAGGATCTCCAGGAGGCAGTGTGTTCCAAACGTGCAGAGAAAGGTGAGGCCTCGTCTCTCTCCCCCAAAGCCTCACTGCTGCCTAGTTTCATTCTCCCTGCCCGGTTGCTTGCCACCGTTGGTGTGTCACGCAGGCAGCGCCCTGTGCGAACTAGTGTATTCACTGTGGGGGATGCACGTCACACGCCTAGTCGTGAGTTCGTTGAAGGCCGCCTCCTGCCCCTTTACACCACCTCAGAGGGCTTGTTCTGGGGAGCGGCTGATCCCTCGTGTGTGTTTATAACACCAGAAGGGACCACGGTGAACCACTGTCCCTTTAACCTTTTCCACCCACGTGGATTTTCTCCGCCCATGTGTGGAACCGTTAGTCTGACCTCCTGCAAACTAGCCATTGGAGCCATCGCCGGGGCGTGGGGCGCTTTGCACTACTGGTGATGCTCAAGATTGGCTGGTTCTTCAAAGCCTGCTCTCGGAATGGTTTGGGGCAGGGCTCTGCTCTGTGCTCTGCCAGGGTCAGACTAGATGGTCCCCGCAGGCCCGTCTGCCTTGTAATCTAGCGCTCACAGGAGACGGGCCCAAGGTCGCTGTGTGGTCACCAATACACAAGGAGAATGCGCTGCGGAGGAACACTGGCTTATTACTTGAAATGCAAGTTTCTGTTCAGGCCAACACACTCCCAGGGCAGTATTTCTTCAATCAGGCTCACAAACGATCGATCGCTTGAGGTTCTTAACCAACAGTTTATTTAATTCACCCAGAAACACAAAAGTTTACAATCAACAATTCATCAACCAAGGACAGAGACGACCGATGTTCTTAGGTGTTTACTGAACATGTAAATACAGTCTTGCAAGCAGTTGTCATAGACTAGGGTTGAGGCTCAGCAGTTATACCAAGGAACAATGCAAATCACCAAGATTTCTCATTCCATTCTTATACTCATTAACCGTGAATTCTGTGGCGTTTCGAATACATTCCGTACACGCCTAGTGCCTCTTGAGGAGTAAGGATGCACTTGTTTTAAAGGCACCTTGAAGAATGTGGTCCCTGCTATTTGGATGGTTTGGTATGAAAGGGGCACATTTAAAATATCAACAGGAATTGCTTAAAGAGCCAGTTCTCCTCACTCTTACTGCAGTCTGCTTGGGCCTAGGGGCGTGGTTAGGGTGCAGACTCAGGGTGCATCTACGCAGCACAGAGCTAAGATGCAGTTTGAGCTTGCGTATCTTCTTTTGACCTTATTCCAAATAGCTCAGTTTGTGATTTGGCCCCATCTACACAGCTTGAAATGATCGGCTTTTCCGAACTGTCCTTTGCTCCTCGTGGCAGGAGGGACATCAGAAAAGCGAGCCTGGTCTATTCGAATGGGCCCGCTGTTAGAACGCAGAATAGCTATTTCGGGCTACCCCCGGCCTCCTGCCACAGCGCTGCAGTGTAGACAGAGCCTCAGAGAGCGAGCGCTAACCCGCAGGTATTGGTGTTAAGGAATAGAGGCGGAAAGACAAACTTTGAAAAGTTCCCTTGTCCCTTAGCCCTTTGACCCCCAGATGGGGGATCCTTGCCGCATGGCTTGCTCGTCAGTCACACTGCTGGGTTCTGCACCTGATTTATGGACTTGGTCACCTCTGCTTTAGCCCCATGGCCCTGGAGGAGGCGTCACCCCACAGGGAGGCACCTCCAACTTGGAAAACTCTTCCCAGTCCCATGAGCCCAAAAAGCAGGCTGGCTGCTGCGTTCAGCAAGGGCTGAGGTCTCCCATGGAGTCAGCAACAGGCGGCACCTGCTCTCAGGGCTAGCTAGGCAGTGTCTAGTGAATGCCTTCTACATTGCTCTCCACTGCCAGCCATGGCTCTTCCTTCCATCAGTGTCCAGTAGTTGGTGACGGCCTATAACAAATGTCTCCAATGCGCGTTTTAGGCCTGGCGGGTGTTTTTAGATTTGATCAATTTTATGGATTATATTTCAGGAGTAACCCTGACTTTGAATTGGGCCCCAGCCCATCCCCCCTTTAAGCAATTTCTCTTAATATTCCAAAGTGATACCTTGGTTCAGAGCTTGTACCGTTCAATATTTGACGAGCCAACTGGCCCCACGTAGTCGGATGCAGTACAGCGATCGCTTCTCATGCCGTACGCTTCGCTAGTGCAACAATCATTCACAAAGACAACAAACAAAATCCTTTCTAGTGTTCTACACCTGGAGGGCACAGGCTATCTGCTGGTCAATTCTATCTAACGCGGCACATCCTTTGGGGCTTTTCCCAGGACGAGACATTGCGCTGAAGGAGCCAGACGGAGCATTCACATGTAAAGATGAAGATCTGTGTCATAAGGCAAACGACTGTTGAGTTGGGGAGGGGAAGCAGTTTGGATTTCCTGGGGAAAGTTGACGTGTGCCCCACTGGACCGTCGGGTTTCACACGTTATTTCTCGTTGCTTTAGCTCCTTCCATCCCCCCGGTCCTTGATTGGCACCGAGGAAGTGTTCCGGGCTGACGCCGGCTTTCCCAGTGCCTGGGATTCACCAGCTCACGCCAGCTGGGATTACAAGAAGGCACCTGAGGCCTCAAGGGAAGGGCAACCTGGTGAGTCAGCAAAGGGCAGGTGAGAGCTACCTGGGCGTGAGGCAGGCTGCCAGGGCCCAGGGGGCTGGAGAGGTGCCCGGGAAGAGAGCAGCAGGAGGGGTTTGCTGGCTGACAGCCCCAAGGCAGATGTACCTGCCAGTTCTAAGCCAGAGTTGGGAGAAGGCTGGAGGTAGGAGGACGGCAGCGGGGCTGCCCTGCTGCCCGCTCCCTGCAGGCGCGCTGGGCTCCAGGGGCGAGCACATGCCAGAGGCTGGAGGGCCAGCTGGAGGGCAGGGCAGCTGCCCTTGGAGTGGGCTCGTTCTGGGCAGGGAGGTGCCGGCGTGCGAGGACAGTGGGATTTGAAGGTTCCCGGTGCTGGGGAGCTAACTGGGCGCTGTGTTGGACTTGCCTGCCAGAGTGCGGGCACAAGCACCGCGGAGGCGGGAGAACGCCTGGAGGGGAAGTGGGGCCGGCACACCTGTCGTGCTGTGACTGTTCCGGATGAGGCTGCCCAAACATGGGAGACTAGAGGGCACAGGGAAGAGGACAATTAGTCTTGTCTGTTGCCTGGCAGGGGCCCGTTAGCTCAGGGCGAGGCAGCCAGACCCGTCCCACCCAGCTGCCCCCGGATGCTGCGGAGTCTCATGCAGGCTCCTGATTGCCCCGTCCCCGCATGCTCTCAGAAAAGCGGCTGGGGAAGGGGGAGGGGTTTTTGAGCCTGGGGGAGGGGCGAAGAGGCTTCCAAGCTGCCCCTGCCCCTGCCCAATCCCATTGGCCAATTTCTGGCAACGCGCCAAGTACCCCTCCCCCCGGTTCGCATCTATTCACAGACCCACATGGCCCCAGCAGCCGTGGTCAGGTCACAACCCAAATCTTCTACACCCTTCTCCCTCCAGCCCCAGGTCACAACTGCCACCCACCACTGCACCCTCTTCAACACCCCTCCACCAACCCAGAATCCTCCCCTGCACCCATATCCCCTACCAGACCCTGCACTGCAATCACAGGTCACAACACCCTCCTTCACCCAAACTCCGTCTCAGATCCTAGTCCCCTACCTCGAGCTCCCTTTTGCACCCAGACCTGAGCCCCCTCCATGCAGCCCTCGACCACTTTCCAAATTCTTGGCGTGCCCCCCCCCTCGCTCTCCCCCCACTGTAGCTAGCCAAAGAGTAGGCCGTGAGCAAGGGCCACTGTGGTGGGAATAGCTGAGAGCAGCGGGAAGGGGCCTTCTGGCTCAAGTGAGTTTTCCTTTCCTGGGATGGTGTAATGTCGCTTTAGCTTAATTTGTGCTCCCCAGACAGGGTGCGGCGCCGGCTGAGAGGGGCTAGTGCCCTTAGCTCAAGGAGGATGCTCAAGGTTTGGAAGATGCACGAGGCTGTTTGGCTGCAGGATGGCTAGAGAGAGCAATAACCATGAACTGTTTTCAAGGCATCTCCCACCTAGCTTCTCACCTCAGCTCACATGAGGAGTCATTCGTCCGCTCTACTCTGTGCTGACCAGGCCTCGGCTGGAGTCTTGTGTCCAGTTCTGGACACCACGTGTCAGGAAGATGTGGAGAAACTGGAGAGGGTCCAGAGAAGAGCAACAAGAATGATGAAAGGTCGAGAGAACAGGAGCTGTGAGGGAGGCTGAAGGAACCGGGCTTGTTTAGTTTGGAAAGGAGAAGATCTTGGAGCTGGGGGTGTGAGGAGGGGCTGAGGCCAAGGGTTGGGGCATGTGCAAAGGGGGAGAGCAGGAAGTGCTGCAGCACCCTGGGCTCTCAGCCTAGAGCTCAGCGTCCTGGCTCGTGTCCTGGCCAGGGGCTCTGCTGCTGGTCCCATGCACCAGCTGCAGGTTTTGCTGCATCCCCTGGAGCCAGCCTCTGGTGCTGAGCCGCTGGCAGGCCTGGGAACAGCGCTGGGGGCAGGCGGCCTGAGCTCGCAGGGCTGCATTATTTCCTTCCTGTCACTGCAGCAGCCCCAAGGCAAGGAGAAGCGGGGGGCCCTGGGCCCCCCACATCCATTGCTAAGGCTGTGGGGCAGGCTGCAGGGCTGCCTTTGGGTCAGAGGCATATTTTTCCAGCCAGGGGGCCGGGGGAGGATGGACACACACGCTGCTCTTGAGTTCCCTACAGTGTAATGCAGAGCAGGGCCCATGGGGGGCGCTGTGCACTGCTGGCATGTGGGGCAGGTTCAGGCAGTGTCCAGCTCACACAGCATGGGGTACCCTGTCGGGACAAGTAAACCAAAGGGAAACTCAGTCCCCCGCACCCTCGCCCCCAACAGCTGAGCTCCGGCCGTGTGGAGTACACTGCCACCCAGACCAAAACCCCTGAGAAACCCAGCCTGCACCCCCCACATGCCAGTAAGCCCCGCCCCTGCCCACACCGGCCCCGCCCCAGGCCTAGCCCCTTAGCACACAATGCAGCAAGAAAATGCCATTGGGAGGGCTCGAGAGACTAGTTCTGTCCCGGGCACCCTTCCCCTGACCCCCCCAAGAGCCAAGCCGCGCATGGCACTGCAGCCTGAGGAGGAAATGGAGCTGTGCCCGGAAAGGAGACAGACCCAGGCAGGCCCCATGGGTGCGGCCGGCTCACCGCTTTCTTGGGGGGCAGGCCGGGGGGCCAGGGCCCCGCTACACCAGCGCATAGTCGAACTGGCCCCTCTCCAGCCCCTCCTTGTGGTCAGTCCAGGAGGAGGCGGGCATGCGGCTGTAGGGGTCCAGCAGGATGCGGAAGCAGCGCACCATCAGCATCACCAAGAAGACAAGGAGGAAGATGACGAAGGCGAAGACGGTCTTCTGCTCGGCGTCCATGCCCAGGCCGGCGGCGGGCGGCTCCGCCAGGGAGGGGGACAGCAGTTCATAATCCATCGTAGACACATCACTCATCGCAGGGCCGTGGCACGCCCGCCAGGCCGGGAGCTGGGCCAGGGTGTGGGTCACTCGGCGCCCATCCTGCCGGCCCCAAGCAGCCGCCAGGGATGTGCGCAGAGAGCGCTGGCCGGCCCGGGGCTACTCCATGCGCGGGGCCCCAAGCTGCTCAGTGCAGCCGCACGGCTCCAGCCAGGAGCTCCTGGAAGAGAAAGAGCCAGGCATGAGGCTGCTGTCCGCAGGAAGCCCCTACGCTGACACACGCCATGTGCTGCTAACGCCCAGGGCTCTTCCCCCCCCCGCTGCCCCCGCCCTGCCGAATGGACCCCCGCCTGTGCGGCCGTGCCCGGGGAGTGCTCTGTGCCGTGCCTGGCCTGCCCCAGCAAGGCCTTTTGCAGACCCAGCGCTTCTGCCGTTTGCTCGCCTTTGCCCTGGAGGGCTCCCTCGCTGGAGAACGGGCCCTCCCGTGGGTGCAGCGTGATCCGGTGCGGAGCTGCCCTGCAAGCACCAGGGGAAAGGATTTTTGCGGGACTCAGGATTCGAGTGAAAACCATTTTTTCCTTCACAAGAGAATGTTAGCAAAATAAGCTGGTTCCCAACGTTTGACCGAAGGGAAAGTGTCGCCTCCTCTCTCCCCCTTTTTTCTTTGCCGGGGCGCTGCTGCTGTCACTGCGGCAGAGCCCATGGCTTGCACTGGCTTGCGCACTGGCGTGACTCCCGATCGACACTGCCGTAGCTCCGAGCGGAGTCGGGCTTGCGCCCAGGAAATGGCTGAGAAGCAAAGAGCTCAGAAAGGGCAGCTTCCGCCCGGGGCTACCCACTGGCCCAGGCTGGTGAGACACCCCAATCTAAGGCCCCGCAGGGCGTCAGGGGGATTCTGGTCATGCCCCTGCGTGTTTCGCGTCAGGTCTCAGGTGCTGGCGGCCTGAGCTGGGGGTGGGCGCAGCGCCCCGTGCCGCTACAGGAAATGGCTGAGAAGCAAAGAGCTCAGAAAGGGCAGCTTCCGCCCGGGGCTACCCACTGGCCCAGGCTGGTGAGACACCCCAATCTAAGGCCCCGCAGGGCGTCAGGGGGATTCTGGTCATGCCCCTGCGTGTTTCGCGTCAGGTCTCAGGTGCTGGCGGCCTGAGCTGGGGGTGGGCGCAGCGCCCCGTGCCGCTAACGTGCATTTCCCGGGGAGGCTAGGACGATAGTGGACAGATCTTCTGCCCGCCTCCTGCTCCTTGCAAGCCAGCCCTGGGCTCCACAGCGCCGCTTCTGGGTCAGCTGCTTCTCCTGGCAGCCTCTGCGCAACGCAGCAGCCCTGCGAACGCCCCAGGGGCCACGGCTCCCCATGGCACATGGGGCTGGAGGGCGCTCCCAGGCCCTGCCTGCTGGAGCGGCAGCTGGGCATGCGCTATTCCCGGCTGCCAGCCCCCAGCCACCCAGGAGAGAGCAGGCCAGCCAGAGGCAGAGAAACGGGGCTGGGGGGGCAGTGTGTCTGAGGGCTGGAGACACGCACCACGTGTGGCTGGGGGGGTTGCTCCTGGTGCGTATGGAGGAGGGGCCGTGGCTGCGTCCGTTAAACGCTGGGTCCAACAGCTTAACCACTTCAATGGGCAGGCGGGGCATGACAGCCCCGCTCCCCCCCCCCGCAGCAACCAGTCACACCCCTAGGCGACCAGCCCGCGCCAGCTGGCCCCATGCGGGCTGAGCCTGGCCCTGAGGTTGGGGCGTCCCTCTGCCCTCAGCACCACAGCTACTGGGCGCAGGCCCCCCCGAGGCAGCACAAGGGACCCCCCAGGAGGGAGGGAGTCACCCAGCAAAGCGAGCCCATATCTCCCCCCCAGTGTTTCCCCTCCCCCCCGCCCCCCCGACAAACACCCACCTGATGCGCACGCGCGCGCACACACACCGCCCACCTGACACACACACACCTGACACGCACACCCCACACACACCTGACGCGCGCACACACACACACACACCCCTCCCACCCAACACACACACCACTCCCATACAACACCCCCTACCTTGCACACACACACACACCCTCCCACCCAACACACACACACCTCTCATCCGCCCCACACACACAGACACACACGATGCACACATACACACCACTCCCACTTGACACCCCCCCCACACACACACACCGCCCAACCGACACACACCCCTCCCACCTGACACACACACACACACCTGACACACGCACACACACAGCACTCCTACCCCACACCCCCCCTACCACACACACACACACACACACACACCCATCCACACAGACATGGACCCCCAGGAGCGCGTCCCCCCGTCCCTACCCG